GCCGCCTTAACCCTAGCCGCCATTCTTCTTCTTCTTCTTCTTCTTCTTTTCTCCTCCGCCTCTCCCTCATCTTCTTCTCCTTCCTCTTCTCTCCTCCTCCTCTTCCGCCCATCTTCTTCTTCTTCTTCTTCTTCTTCTTCTTCTTCTCTCCTCCTCCSCCTCCCCCTCATCTTCTTCTCCTTCCTCTTCTCTCCTCTTCCTCTTCCGCCCATCTTCTTCTTCTTCTTCTTCTTCTTCTTCTTCTTCTTGTAGGACCGCCACCACAGCAGGTCTCGTTAGGCGCAGCACGTCGCATGAGGCGCGAGGTGCGCGAGGGGCAGCAGGTGTAAAAAAAAAAAATAAAAAAAATTTCTTCTTCTCAGACGACCCGTCCCCCCCCCCCTCACACCAGACAACCCGTCCCCCCCCCAAAACCAAAATTTTATTGCAGATTCGGGGTCCTCTCGCCGAGCACAGGAAGACCCCGCCTTCGAAGAAAATATATATATATTTCTGGGCAGTTTTTTTGCCCGCCCGGGCGGCGTCCGTACTCAGGAAAACAGTTCAAATTATGTGAAAACGAGGATCACAACTCCCACCGCATTCATTTGGAGGCTTTTGACCTAAGTAATAATTATGCGATTTTTTTTATGCCATCTTATTCTGATCTTCAGCCTCTGACACGTTCCTGTCGCAATGCCCTCAATTCTCTGACTGCGGTTGTATGGCTTCATCCAGTTATGCTCTGCTCGGAACTGCAACTGGAGAGGTCTGCGTGTTCAGCATATCTTCAGTAAGTCTTGCTCTCTCTTCCGCATCCATTGTATGATTCTATATTTGCGACTTGTGATCAGCATCTGTCTTCAGAATCACCCATGTTTTGCCCCATCTCTCTCTCTCTCTCTCTCTCTCTCTCTCTCTCTCTCTCTCTCTCTCTCTCTCTCTCTCTCTCTCTCTTTCTTTCTCTCTCTCTATTTATCGTCGGTATTACATGCTGGCTATGGCGTTCTGATGATGCTAGTCGGAGTGTTGGCCCACAGTTGGGAGTGTTGCGTCTTTCTTCTCGATTGTATCTCGGTGGGCCACGGGGTTTTCACCCCCTGGCTTGGCAGACTCATCGTACTCACGATTGTCTCTGCACTTGACCACAAGGATTAGCAGGGTAGGTGTGGGTACTTTGGTTAGTCTCCCGCTGCTCTTGAAGCAGCCTTGAAACACTCTGACGAGTTTGATCATCTTATCTCAGATAATTACTCTTTCCTTATGCTTGCCGGGGATAAGGAACCGAACAGGAGGCCTCCGTGAGTCCGTGTATATAAAGGGGGCTATGTGAAATAAATAAATAAATAAATAAATAAATAAATAAATAAATAAATAAATAAATAAATAAATTGCAATGAACCCAGACTGGAAGATACTCGTCAGGTGTCAAAGTACCACGTAACTCAACTCAGATCAATGTCTCCAATAACAATGCATGTGATATCTCGTGTCCAGAAGACGAAGAGAGGTGAGGGGGGAATAGACAGTTTAGAGGGTGGAAGAGATAGTAGCAGCAATGACCATCAAGAAGATAGCCCAACATTTCCCACTCCTTCTCCGGGCTTCCACTCACCTCCACGTCATCAAACAGTATCTAATAACGAGTCTGACAGGCTCTGATCACATCGGAGTGTCACTTGGCACAGTTCTCTCGTGAAGACGTTGAAGACAATCGACAGCGCCCAGTATTGACAACCTCCTCAGGTAAGTATCCCGATCCTTCTCAATCATCCACAGCTCCCGATCTCCCTCCTTGTTGCGACCAATCACCCAGTGTAGACAGCGTGGCCAATGCCACATCAGCGATGAAGACAGGTGGCATGCGCCACATCAACAATGGAGACAGGTGGCATGCGCCTCACGAGCATAGGCTGGCGCCCAGCAGAGAAGGCGCCAGCCTGCTGCCTCAGTCCCGTGTCGTCATCCACAGTGCCAGCGCTTAGCCAGCATCAAGCCAGCATCCAGCCAGCGTCAAGCCAGTAGACTTTCACTTGGTCCCGATGCTGTCTTGGTACCTGCATACAAACAAGTGAGTGTGTCTGACCGGCGGTCTGTGGGTCCGTCTTGACTTTGACTGTAGGGCCTCAGGCAGTTGACCGAAGTCAACTGTGGGGTGCTCAGGCCCTGGGCTATTTCCGGAGGGGTCCTTGCCCCTTCGACCTCGCGGCCAGATACCGGGGTCGCGGCCTGTGGGCCCTTAGCCATTCAATGAGGCATAATGAACGAGCTATTGCAAAATAATATTCATGACATAAAAATGTCAATGTTCAACTGAGCATAGAGCAGGTATACTTAAACTACCGTAGGCCTTTTACAATTGATATTTGGACGTACTTAAGGTCCGATACATTCTGGACGGGACATATGCTCTGAGGGGGGCAAGCTCTCTGAGCTGACAGGTCAGTTTGAGATTTGAACGAAAACCACGACTTATCTTGTTACTTGGGCACATAATCGGTATTAGAGTATTATTAGTATTTATATTAATTTTATTACCGTATTACTATTAATTCAATTTAATTGCACATTATGTATTCGACACTTTTTTTCTTTTCTCATGAATGTTCCATAACTATATTTTAATGAGTATTTTTATTTTTTTGCTATTTTACTATTTTGAACTGTTTTCAAATTTTCACTGTTCTCAGTGTTTTTCACACAATTTTTCACGGTCAAGAAATGGAGTGGAATCACTGGAATGGCAGGAATGCACGTTTGTTTTTGTTTTTTTTGCTTGTTGAAAATTACGTGAAAAGTTTAAAACAGCTGAGTACGGATCCGGGCCGCCCGGCCGACCAGCGCCTGCCCGGGGGAGGTCCTGGGCGGCCTGGCCGGGCGGGCGGCCCGGTTGGGGGCCGGGCCCCCCCAGCACACCTGCCCAGTGGGGGGTTTCCGACCCCGAATCGGCCACTTTGGACGTCGGCAAGGCCTACCGGGTCCGACCGCGCCGAGAAAACGGCGCGTCGGGCCCGTGAGGCCTGCTTTTTTTTTTTGAAGTTCGGACGGCCCTCCGGCCGTCGATCATCCATGATCGACGGCCAGAGGGCCATGCGTTTTTGGAGGGAAAAAGGAGGCCCCATTTGAACAAGCGAGTGGCTGGGGAGGTCTGCATTCACTTTCCAAACGGGCCCCCTGCTCCAGCCGCCGCGTTCGTCCTTTCGTCGAAGCAGCTGCCCGTCGTCGCCCGTCGCCTAGGAGTGCCGTCGCCATCGCGTGGGAGCACCGTCGCCCGTCGAAGCAGCTGCCCGTCGTCGCCGGCGCCTGGGACTGCCGTCGCCCGTCTCTTCTTCTTCTTCTTCTACTTCTTCTTCTTCGTCGTCGTCTTCTTCTTCTTCTTCTTCTTCTTCTTCTTCTTCTTCTTCTTCTTCTTCCCTCCTCCTCCTCCTCCTCTTATTCTTCTGCTTCTTCTTCTCCTC